CGTGGAGAAAATAAGTCTAATTTTTTTTTCTAATCTTATTACAAAAAATGTAACTCAGTACTCATTGCAATGAATGACAGAACGCGCATTTTCTCGTCGACGAAAACGTGAAGTCATGGACAGACAGACGGACGGACGGACGGACAGACAGACGGACATGACGAGCACAATAGGGCACTTTTTCCATAAATGAGAAAATGCGCTAAAAATTTATTTGTTGAATTTTCTCGTGATATTCCAGTTCAGTGGCTTAGGCGTGTAAAAGTTTTTACCGCATTTTGCTTTCAATGAATTCAATTTAGAAATCTGCATAGAGATTCAGTAGATGCTGTTAGGATTATTTTCGTTCTGAAATGATTTCAAACGTGACTGGATGCCTCGAAAATTATTTCTTACTAGACCCCTTTGGAAAACAGCCAATAAAATTTAAAATCTAATTCTTCAGATCAGTTTCCACAAAAAGACTAGATTCAAGCCGTTTGATGCCCCGTTTGCGTATCGCATCAATTTGTGTTTATCTTCATTTGACTTGATATTAGGGCGAAACTTTTGGATTTAGCAAGCGAGTTTCTGAGCTCGAGTATCAAAGAGCTCTCTGATTTATGGGCACTTTAGAGCTCGTGTAAAGTTGAACTTACCCAATCTTCCATCAGAGAGATTTTCTCCAGATCTCGTCCATAGGTCCGCATCTCACGTTTAGATCGCCTGCTTCTGTTTCTATGGGTCGAAATTCAGGGCTCGTTGCACTGTTAGAAAAAACGGTGAAAAAACGGTCCCTCTGGTGTTCTAGTGGCCGGTTGCCCCGTGAAAATAAACTGTTTCGCCGTTTTTATCAGATGTTTTAACGGATTTCTAGTGTTAAATTAGAATAACGCCGGTAATACCGTTAACGGTAATTTTTCTAACAGTGTGCGCAGAGCTTAAATTGCAACCATGCGTTCACTACACTGGAACGCATAGCCCACATCAGCCTGGTGAAACTTCTTTTATTTCCACATTGATTTTATTGTGAAATTTTTATTAGTGGTAAGAATTACAAATCTTTCATGTGTTTTTCGAGCACTTGTAGTATATAAATAAACTATTTTTCATAAATTCACGAATCGCTGTTTTTACATCGTAAGATATTTGTATCTACTTCATTAAAGTATATTTTTGTCCTTATTCTGAACCTTCTTCTATTGTTAACTATGTTATATAACATGTAAAATTGTTACATGTTATATAAAATAGTTGTATAACATTATGTTATATGTGTTACGTTTCATTGTTACGTACTTACACTGTTAGAAAAATTACCCTTAACGGTTTTACCGGCGTTTCAGTGGCCGGGCGGCACGTGAAAAGAAACACCGTTTCACCGTTTTTATTCCAATTTAACACTAGAAATCCGTAAAACATCTGATAAAAACGGCGAAACAGTTTATTTTTACGGGGCCACCGGCCACTAGAACGCCGGTGGGACCGTTTTTTCACCGCTTTTTCTAACAGTGTAGCTGCGTAAGTGTTAAGCGCTTGTATGTATTCAAAGATGCGTATCTCCCCTCACTCTTGCGCACTGCGATGTGAATCATATGCATGGGCACCGTGCGTGGGCTGCGAGCTGTGTTATGCGCATCATGTGATGCTGTCCGCATTATGCCTAGCACATGATAAGCTTAATGCGGACAGCATAACATGATGCGCATATATTATGCGTATCATTTGATGCTATCCGGATTTTATAGTGCTGGTCCTCTGATCTGCTTAATAACATTTATTATATTTTTATTATATGAACTACATGCACCTAAACTTAAAAAATTTAGGCATGATTATTTAGTTAGAAAGTTTCACAACTGGCAAATTCTGAAAGCTGCTTAATAATATTTATTCTATTTTTATTATATGAACTATACGCACCCAAATTTTGAAAAATCGAGCCATAATTATTTAGATAGAAAGTTTCACAACTGGCAAAATTCTAAAAGTATTGAAAGATTTTACTTATAAAACAGTTTGAAAATTTCGTTCACAATCCTGCGCTAACGTTCACCACGATTGTTACAATTAATGCCCTTTTAACATTTTATGAAACGTCATCGGATAATTCGATTGATGTTGAATTATTCTGAATGGCTTCAACAGTGCAAACTGGCTTCAATGGTTTCAACAGTTTGAATGGTTTTAACTGTGGTTTCAAACTCTCAAATGGTTTCAACAGTGGTCTCAAACTCTCAAATGGTTTCAACAGTGGTCTCAAACTCTCAAAAGTTCAACAGTGATTTCAAACTCTCAAATGATTTCAACAGTGGTCTCAAACTCTCAAAAGTTCAACAGTGATTTCAAACTCTCAAATGGTTTCAACAGTGGTCTCAAACTCTCAAATGGTTTCAACAGTGCACTGCAATACCAGATATTGTGCTGGACATCGTCCATCTTCCATGGACATGTAATGCGTCTCAGCTGCGACGCCGACTCCCTTAACGCGATATTGACTTCACTCGCTGCACATTCATCGATCCGTAGCCAATAGTTAACTAATCATTACTTACATTACTTAACTTAAGTCAACTAGTCATTTTAGTCTATCAACACTAATATAGGTGTCCTAAAGCAGCAGTGGCCGCTAGCATGGCATGTCTTCATTAGTATCTCTACGTCTCAATATGCAGGCTGTTATCTAGCATATGTTCTAAATAACATCAGCTAAAGTATATCCAATTAGCAAAGGATCCAAAAACTTTTTCTAAACTGTATTATCGATTAACTAAAATGATTTTTCTGTGCCAATAGTACCGACTCACCAGCCAACCTAGAACTGAGGAAATTAGTGGTACAGAGAAAAACATTTTTGTCGTAGTTCGTTCAGCGACTTTGCTTATCACGTGGACAGAAATGATTTCTATTCAAGTCATTTTACACTCAAACGAAATTTTCAGTTTATTCGTGTACTAATTTAAGTGCTTCCTCATAAACCAATTTTTTTTAATGATGCTTTCCTTATATTTGATCGAAATTTACCCGAATCGTTTTTTACAAGGGGCATCTGGAAAGTAGTACCCGTTTAGGAATTGAAGAAAAGGAAGTATATAAATATTAACAAATGTAAACATGTTTATTGAAAAGAACATATATTACACTACTTCTCTACATAATCTCCGGACAAAATTTACATTTGTCGTATCGTGTCACGAGTTTTGTATACCAGCGTCATGTTCCTCCGCCGCCAGTGTATTGAGATACGCAGTCACGTGTTCTTTCAGTTCTTCGTCATTTTGAAACTTTGTCCCTGCCACGAAGTCCTTGAGTTTCGTAAACAGATGAAAATCTGAAGGAACCAAGTAAGAACCAAGTGGATGGTAGAAAATTTCCCACTTGAATTTTTTGTAGAAGTTGTTGTGTTATCCGAGCCGTATTTTAGATCTATGAACAAGGCATGAAAAGGAAAAGAATTGGCGACAGGCCACATCAGGCCTACACTTCAGCGCCGACATCACCATGTTATGTTATGTTATGTGTGCGGCCTGGCATTATCGTGCAGGAGAATGACGCCAGTAGACAACAGACCTCGCCGTCGATTTTGAATTGCCCGCCGTAATTCTCTTAATTAATGTTGCACAATATGCATTGGCATTGATTGTGTCTCCACGGGTCATGAAATCGATGAGCAGTACACCTTGCCGATCCCAGAAACACTGGCGGCGGAGGAACATGACACTGGTATACAAAAACTCGTGACACGATACGACAAATACTTGAATTTGTCCGGAGATTATGTAGAGAAGTAGTGTAATACATGTTCTTTTCAATAAACATGTTTACATGTGTTAATATTTACTTCCTTTTGTTCAATTCTCAATCGGGTACTACTTTCCGGATGCCCCTCGTATTAATGTGATTTGTTCACGGGTAAATTTGCAAGGAAAATATACCAGATATTTTTTTATGTTTGATGTTCTTCCAGAGATATATGCAGAGGCTTAATTTATCAATGCTAAAAGAAGTTGCCAGCACACCAAGATGTTTTAAAATTTGTATTATTTTAGTGGTAAAAAAAACTTTCCGAAATGATGCGTGGATTTTACTGAAAGATATCGAACAACAACAAAAAAGTATAAGCTTAAAAATAATTATTATAAAAATGAAATGCAAATAAAATTACAGTCAGCCATCTACCGACACGAGCTTCCGCATTATCCGTCGGCACGGAGATCCCATACTTTCAAAAAAAGTTAAGAGACCGTAAGTCTATCAGCCAATCATTGACGGCCTTTCAAGCAAAATCCACCAATCATAGACAAGAAAATAGAGCGTAAGTACTTACGTTCACTTAGCGAGTTTTGAAAGTATGGCCCTGAATGGCAAGACAACAATTATAAGGGACCAGGCCTGGCAATAACTCGCTCATTGCTAAAATACGCCGCTGCCTATGAGGCTAAAGATCGTCTGAAAATGTATTCATTTGCGTTATTGTTCTTTATTATTTAGTTTATAATTAATTAAAATAATGGACAGTTGATACTCGGGAATGTCAATTCGTTTACCTATTGAAAATTGACCACCAGAGTTGATATTACGTTGTAAATCCCGTTTTAAATTTTTAGGTGCCTCAAGGAAAATCATTAATGGCTTAATTGTTAATTCCTTCGAAGAACTTTTCATTGTTACGTGCCCCTCATTAAAAAATAAATTATGGTCGGATAATTAATGTAAAAAAATTTCCCTCTGCCCCATTTGGCATGGTTAGCAATGCATTTTCGAAAAATAGTGAACCCTACTTGAATGAACATTAACTTCGAATACATGTCGATTTAAATAATTATTCAATTCTGGCCAAAAATTGGGCCCTTTGCATCAATCTTTATGGTTTTTATGGCCGGAATGTTATGTTATGTTATGTTAACTTGGAATAAATGTCAATTTGAACAATTATTCAATTCTGGCCATAAATCGGCCCCTTTGCATCAATCTTTTTGGTTTTTTTGGCCGGAATGTTCACACAGATTTTATTTTTCCAGACCTCCGATGACCAAGACCTGGTATTCGAAGACGATGAAGGCATCTTCGGCCACAACAATCACATCGATGACGTGCCCATCATCAAGCCCATCGTCATCGGGGAGAACGACGAAGGCTTACTACTCCCCAGCTTTGTCTCTAGAAGTCGGACCAAACGTCAAGCCTTCCCTCGGGCTCCTGTCGACGACTCAGACGGCGTCGACGGGTCCGGGATGGGGTCCGGAGACGGGTCCGGTGGGTACACCTTTGTCTTGTAGGGTCGTATCATTTGGGGTCCGGAGACGGGTCCGGTGGGTAAACCTCTGTCTTGTAGGGTCGTACCATTCGGGGTCCGGAGACGGGTCCGGTGGGTGAACCTTTGTCTTCTAGGGTGGTATCATTCGGGGTCCGGAGACGGGTCCGGTGGGTACACCTTAGCCTTCTAGGGTCGTATCATTCGGGGTCCGGAGACGGGTCCGGTGGGTACACCTCATCCTTCTAGGGTAGTATCATTTGGGGTCCGGAGACGGGTCCGGTGGGTACACCTTTGTCTTCTAGGGTCGTATCATTTGGGGTCCGGAGACGGGTCCGGTGGGTAAACCTCTGTCTTGTAGGGTCGTACCATTCGGGGTCCGGAAACGGGTCCGGTGGGTACACCTCATCCTTCTAGGGTAGTATCATTCGGGGTCCGGAGACGGGTCCGGTGGGTGCACCTCAGTTTTCTAGGGTCGCACCATTCGGGGTCCGGGATGGAGTCCGGAGACGGGTCCGGTGGGGACACCTCTGCATTCTAGGGTCGTATCATTGGGGTCCGGAGATGGGTCCGGTGGGTACACCTCTGTCTCTAGGGTCGCATCATTCGGGGTCCGGAGACGGGTCCGGTGGGTACACTTCAGCCTTCTAGGGTCGTACCATGCGGGGTCCGGAATGGGGTCCGGAGTCGGGTCCGGTGGGTACACCTCTGTCTTCTAGGGTCGCACCATTCGGGGTCCGGGATGGGGTCCGGAGACGGGTCCGATGGGTACACCTCAGCCTTCTAGGGTCGCACCATTCGGGGTCCGGAATGGGGTCCGGAGACGGGGCCGATGGGTACACCTCAGCCTTCTAGGGTCGCACCATTCGGGGTCCGGGATGGGGTCCGGAGACAGGTCCGGTGGGTACACCTCAGTTTTCTAGGGCCGCTCCATTCGGTTTGATGGCAATGATTCAATTCAATTTTTTATATACATTTTTCTACGGATGCATTAACCATAGACCAAAGATACGGTTGTCTGTAAGACAGTAATTTTATCTACGGATACATTAACCTTTGATCAAAGATACACTAGCTTTGAGACAATAAACTTTGTCTACAGAAACATTAACAGATGTTACCTTCTGATAACCACAAGTTAACAGAAGCCTGATAGCCGCTTGACTTACCGACATGAGAAATGGGATGAAATAAATAAATGGGACTTGCCATTTGATCAACCTAAGTCCGTCCTTTACTATTGATAGTTATCGGGCCTATTGCTTAAATTGTTCAGTTAAAAATTTAAGTGAGAGTTTCGTGTTTTTTTGTTGTTTTGTTTTGCGTCAAATTGTTTTTGCGGCCTGGCCTGCTCATTTAGACTATCTTATGGTGAAGCTTTTGACTGAAATTACCCTAAAAATTTCTAAATTGCATAGATTGACTGTTACTTGGTTAATGATTTGTTAAAATATATTAATTACTATGTAAATTTATCAATTTTGAATAATGTATACACGTAACACATACCTAGAATTCATGTTAAAACTTCTTCAAAAGGAAACAGAACTTCACATAGTTTTTCCACGTCTACATGTGGTCATTTTCTGCAATCTAAAAAACTATCATGTAAGATGTGCTCAATTTAATTAATTTTGTTCATAAATTGCATTGTTTAACAGTATTTATTGATCATGCTAGTAATTTAAACAAATTCATCTCAATTTTACGTTATCATCAATATAAATTTTTCGCATTTTGTATGCCGAGAATATCATTAAGAATATATTCACTTTCTGTTGAGTCTTGGGCAATCCAGCATAAGACATTAGTTCATAAAGAATCCCATGAATTTCCGGCCATTGCTGCATAAATTTCTTTAGGCAATGTACCATATCAAGCAACATGCCTCCTAACAGTTTCTCATTAGTCAATGTACCATATCCAGCAACATGTCTTCTCACAATTTCTCTTCAGGCAATTCACCATATCCAGCAACATGTCTTCTCACAGTTTCTCTTCAGGCAATTCACCATATCCAGCAACATGTCTTCTCACAGTTTCTCTTCAGGCAATTCACCATATCCAGCAACATGTCTTCTCACTCTTTCCCATTAGGCAATGTACCACATCCAGCTACATGTCTCCTCACAATTTCTCATTAGGCAATGTACCACATCGAGCAACATGTCTCCTCACAATTTCTCATTAGGCAATGTACCACATCCACCAACATGACTCCTACAGTTTCTCTTTAGGCAATGTACCACATCCAGCAACATGTCTCCTCACAATTTCTCTTTAGGCAATGTACCACGCTTTTAGAAAAAACGGTGAAAAACGGTCCCACTGGCGTTCTCGTGGTTGGTCGCCCCGTATAAATAAACTGTTTCGCCGTTTTTCAAATGTTTTAGGGATTTTTAGAGTTAAATTAGAATAAAAACGGCGACACGGTGTTTCTCTTCACGTGCCGACCGGCCACTGATACCGTTAACGGTAATTTTTCTAACAGTGCACTTCCAACAACATGACTCCTAACAGTTTCGACCGTTAAGCTGAAATTCTCGTGGTGCACAGGTCGGTTCAGGATAGAGCTGGAGGTAGACGGACAGTTCCAAGCAGACTACAACGACCCTACGAGCGCAGGCTTCACGAGTCTGGCAGCACGCGTGCAGTATCCTATTGATGTGAAGCTCCGAACCCTGCCTGGCACGGCAGATGCTCATCTCACCAGAATACAGTGAGTTCTTCTGAACCAGGGCCTATACTTTCAAAACTCAACAGAATACAGTGAGTTCTACTGAACCAGGGCCTATACTTTCAAAACTCACCAGAATACAGTGAGTTCTTCTGAACCAGGGCCTATACTTTCAAAACTCACCAGANTTCACACAAGTGTGCAAAATTTCAGATCAATTAGACAGGTAAAAGTGTGTCAAATATCAGTTATAAGATTTGCAGCTGACAAAATTATTTTTTCAATTTTTTTAACATTGAAAAAAATGTTTTTTTTTAATTTTTAAAATCATTTTGTTTGACATTTGATTCATGCATTGTCTCCAACTTTACACAAGTGGGCAAAATTTCAGATCGATAGGATAAGTAAAAGTGCATTAAATTTTGATTACAAGATTTGTAGCAGACAGACAGACAGACAGACAGACAAACAAGAAGTGAAGTTAAAGAGAAGTGTTGTAAAAGGATACGTTCTAGTGAGCGCAAAATGACTTGCACTGATGGTTGCCACCACGTATTACTTTAAAATATTCTCTGTTGCGTACAAACGTCCTCAGGTTGCTACATTCAATAGTTTACGTTTACAATTTGTATCTGGCCGGTAGGCCCGGTAGGTTGTTGTAATTTTATAATAACACCGACAATAAACATGTCACACCTCAGGTCCGCTGGTCCAGGCCGCTTGAAGCTGTTGGTCGACGTCAGTGTCATCGAGTCTGACGCCGAAGAATCACAAATCCGAGCAATATTCGATGACTTCGACGCCAGCGGCCGTATGGGTGACCTCACCAACGTTAAGCTCCTCAAGTTCAGTCAGGAGGAAGGTAAGATCTTCAGGTCCTCCCTTAAGGTTGAGACTGAGACCCGCGAGCCCTCAGGCAGGCTTGGCTCTTGGCCGGTCTATTTTACTTTGTAGCAGAAGACGCGATTCATTTCAAGTTGGCAACAAAGGATCGCTTTACGTTTTTGAAGCATCTGAAAGTAAGCTCTTTATCGAACGATGATCTTCATTGAATATACTGGTAAGATTTTTGTTTAATTATCTTTGTGAAGCTGTGGACTTTTATTTCGAGCCTGGCTTGCACTATGCATTGATGCTGATGACTCGCTGTAAAACTTATCTCTATACCACAAAACGGCGGAAAAGTAGAGCATTCATAAAAGAAATTAATTGAAAGTAATGCAAATAATTTACAATATTGAACATATATTATGCAATATCATTGCTATACGACTAAATGTTTTTATATGGCAGAAAAGGTTCCAATTGGAGGTAATCAAAGTTTTCCTTCATACTAAATATTCTTTAAAGTTGGAGTCAACTATGCTCAGTGTGAAAGGCTCTAGGTATATATATTGTACGATTTTGCATAAATATATTTATTCCAGTAATCGTTTGCTTAATTTTCGTGATATTAAGATGATGCTTGAAATTCTATATATATTGCAATGAACAATTTTACCTATTTATTCGTTGATTAGCCAGTGGCTGATTTGAATACCTTATACCAGCATGTTGGTGCAATATAGAGCATCGTAATTGAATTTCATTCAATGATTGTGGCTGATGAATCCATATCTTTTTGTCGTAATTTTTCCCACTCCCTTTTGCTAGGCCATGGTCCTTGATTGTTGTCATCCACTGTCGAGCTTTGATTAACCTCGGAAGTTTTGTTGTCTTCCACTGTCGAGCTTAGATTAGCCTCGGAAGTTTTGTTGTCTTCCACTGTCGAGCTTTAAATTAGCCTCGGAAGTTTTGTTGTCTTCCACTTTCGAGCTTTAAATTAGCCTCGGAAGTTTTGTTGTCTTCCACTTTCGAGCTTTAGATTAGCCTCGGAAGTTTTGTTGTCTTCCACTGTCGAGCTTTAAATTAGCCTCGGAAGTTTTGTTGTCTTCCACTTTCGAGCTTTAAATTAGCCTCGGAAGTTTTGTTGTCTTCCACTTTCGAGCTTTAAATTAGCCTCGGAAGTTTTGTTGTCTTCCACTGTCGAGCTTTAAATTAGCCTCGGAAGTTTTGTTGTCTTCCACTGTCGAGCTTTAAATTAGCCTCGGAAGTTTTGTTGTCTTCCACTGTCGAGCTTTAAATTAGCCTCGGAAGTTTTGTTGTCGTCCACTGTCGAGCTTTAGATTAGCCTCGGAAGTTTTGTTGTCTTCCACTGTCGAGCTTTAGATTAGCCTCGGAAGTTTTGTTGTCGTCCACTGTCGAGCTTTAGATTAGCCTCGGAAGTTTTGTTGTCATCCACTGTCGAGCTTTAGATTAGCCTCGGAAGTTTTGTTGTCATCCACTGTCGAGCTTAAGATTAGCCTCAGAAGTTTTGTTGTCATCCACTGTCCAGCTTAAGATTAGCCTCAGAAGTTTTGTTGTCATCCACTGTCCAGCTTAAGATTAGCCTCAGAAGTTTTGTTGTCATCCACTGTCGAGCTTAAGATTAGCCTCAGAAGTTTTGTTGTCATCCACTGTCGAGCTTAAGATTAGCCTCAGAAGTTTTGTTGTCATCCACTGTCCAGCTTAAGATTAGCCTCAGAAGTTTTGTTGTCATCCACTGTCCAGCTTAAGATTAGCCTCAGAAGTTTTGTTGTCATCCACTGTCGAGCTTAAGATTAGCCTCAGAAGTTTTGTTGTCATCCACTGTCGAGCTTAAGATTAGCCTCAGAAGTTTTGTTGTCATCCACTGTCCAGCTTAAGATTAGCCTCAGAAGTTTTGTTGTCATCCACTGTCCAGCTTAAGATTAGCCTCAGAAGTTTTGTTGTCATCCACTGTCGAGCTTAAGATTAGCCTCAGAAGTTTTGTTGTCATCCACTGTCGAGCTTAAGATTAGCCTCAGAAGTTTTGTTGTCATCCACTGTCCAGCTTAAGATTAGCCTCAGAAGTTTTGTTGTCATCCACTGTCCAGCTTAAGATTAGCCTCAGAAGTTTTGTTGTCATCCACTGTCGAGCTTTAGGTTAGCCTCGGAAATTTTGTTGTCATCCACTGTCGAGCTTATTAGCCTCGGAAGGTTTGTTGTCATCCACTGTCCAGCTTAAGATTAGCCTCGAAAGTTTTGTTGTCATAAACTGTCCAGCTTAAGATTAGCCTCGGAAGTTTTCACTCAAGTTATTGAGCTACGAACGGCTGTCCCTCCGTCCAAATATTCCTGTTGTAAGAATAAAGCAAGCTGGTCTGTGCAGTTAAATACGCTGGTCCCTGCTATGAAATTCGCTGGTCAGTGCAGTGAAATACGCTCGTCTGCGTATTGAAACAAGGTGACCAGTGCTCTGAAATACGACAGCGATGCTAATGTATTCATTGATCCGTTGAACACAGCGTTGGGCCACGCATCTCTCTCTCAGTTGTCTGCGTTAGGTTGTACTTCTCTCTCCGTTGTCTGTGTTAGGCTTTTCTTCTCTCTCCGTTGTCTGTGTTAGGCTGTACTTCTCTCTCCGTTGTCTGCGTTAGGCTGTTCTTCTCTCACCATTGTCAGCGTTTTGCTCTTCATCGCTCTCTCAGTTGTCTGCGTTAGGCTGTTCTTCTCTCTCCGTTGTTTGCGTTAGGCTGTTCTTCTCTCGCCGTTGTCTGCGTTAGGCTGTTCTTCTCTCTCCGTTGTCTGCGTTAGGCTGTTCTTCTCTCTCAGTTGTCTGCGTTAGGCTGTTCTTCTCTCTCAGTTGTCTGCGTTAGGCTGTTCTTCTTTCTCCATCGTCAGCGTTAGGCTGTTCTTCTCTCTCCGTTGTCTGCGTTAGGCTGTTCTTCTCTTTCCGTTGTAACGCAGTTCTTCTTTCTCAGTTGTCTGCGTTAGGCTGTTCTTCTCTCACAGTTGTCTGCGTAAGGCTGTTCTTCTTTCTTTATCGTCAGCGTTAGGCTGTTCTTCTCTCTCAGTTGTCTGCGTTAGGTTGTTCTTCTCTCTCCATCATCAGCCTTTGTCGATGCGTTTCTCTACATCGTGACATTGCGCTCCGTGATGTACTATGTCTTGTGCGTTTGGCAGCCTTACGCACCGTATATGTGTGCGTAACGCACCGTGTTGTGTGCGGAACGCACCGTGTTTTGTACGTAACGCACCATGTTTTGTGCGTAACGCACCGTGTTGTGTGCGTAACGCACCCTGTTGTGTGCGTAACGCACCGTGTTGTGTGCGTAACGCACCGTGTTGTGTGCGTAACGCACCGTGTTGTGTGCGTAACGTACCGTGTTTTGTGCGTAATTGTCACCATGTTGTGCTCGTAACGCAACGTGTTGTGTGAGTAAGGCTTTCTGTTGTGTATTTCACAACGCATGTTGCTCTGTACGTCGGGTTAGTTTCACATCCAGTTTTGTTCGTTGGGCTGTACAATGCTCGCCGTTATATTTGTTATTATGCGTATTGTACCGTGTTGCACGTGGTTGGTTCTGTTGCGTTCAGCTGAACGTTCTCTGGTCTGCCTACGTAACTCTTGGACTACCGTAGTCCGCTAGTCAACACTGACTAGTCCGCAACTAGTCAGTGACGACGTTTGTCTCGTAGATCCTCACGCCGGCACTTGCGAGGCTGGCGATGTCTGGACTAGTCCGCTAGTCAACACTAACTAGTCCGAAACTAGTCAGTGACGACGCTTGTCTCGTAGATCCTCACGCTGGCACTTGCGAGGCTGGCGATGTCTTGTGTCCTGATGGCGTGTGTGCGACGCCCTGCGACGGAGTACCAGAGTGCGAGAACGCCGAGGACGAACGGGACTGCGAAGATGTGTTCGGCGCAACGGCGCGCCCCACGCTGGATCTACCTGGCGGCGAAGTCGAAACTAACTACATACCGGCGACCACCACCAGCTCCTCGACCACCACTACCACTACTACTACCACCACCACCACTCCGCTGCCGGGTTAGTGTTCATACTACTATTTAGGATACGGTCAATAGCTGAAAAATTTGTTTTACGTTGCCGGGTCAGTCTTGGTACTATTTAGGATACGGTCAATAGCTGAAAAATTTGTGTTACGTTGAGCAGTTTTTCATCACTGTGTTAATATTTGTGGTAACTCCGACACGTCACGTGTTCCAATTCGGCTAAACAACAATAATTGTTGTCTATTAAACTCAAGATTTTGTGCCAACGGTACAAGAAATTGCCAACTCCTAGCAAAATACACGAGGAATTATTCATTATGGAATACTTGCTTCTTGGCGCTTCCTTTTATTTTGAGTAAGAACATCCACCATAAAGATCATTTACCATGTCTTTGGAGCTTGGGCAAAACAACGCGCATACTGCCAGACCTTCATAGGGTACGCACACAGTGAAAGCAGGTTGCCAGCGTGCTGGTTACCTGCTCAGGCTGGCGCCTGAAACCATAGAATACAGAAGCCTATTCGTACAGGTTTTCACTGTGAACACTTACATTATTATCCTATGTTCATTCTTGTGGCAGGTTGGAGCAGGTTGCCCGCGCGGGCAAACCTGCTTCCACTGTGTGCGTACCCTTAGCTTCACCTACGTCGTTGGCGCGCTGTAAAATAGCCGACTTGAGAGGTCAAAGGAAATAAATTTGCCGAGCCGTTCATAACCTAGGAAAGTCGATGCACTGAACAATTCTTGCGTTGACGTAAGAGTTTATCATACGATATTCGTTTTATTTTTCATTAAACTTTGCATGGATTTAGCGATAGATACCAGACAACTTCATTTCTCGCCTAATATTACATTTTATAGCTGGCAGGGTACCGGTGAAACCTAAATAAATTATTTCATTTGCAGGGCTCTAATTTTTGTGACATTATTCCTTTTCGTTGTTTTGCGATTGGTCCAGGCTTAGAAAAATGAACAGTGAGCATGGCTTTCTTCCAGCAGATATAATTGTGTTTACTAATGCACCGATGTAAGGTCACGCGACATTATTAAATAAAATGTGATTTTTTCTTCTTGCGTTGTAGAGATCCAGTGTGTGGGCGAACGTCTCATTTATTACACCGTCCTTTTTAGTGCTTCTTTTGTGGTAGCAAATTTTTGCCAGTTTCGTGCACAGCTATATCAGTCGACTGCCAGCTTTCTATGTCACGGGTGTTTCAATCTTGACTTTACTGTCACTGTGATGGTATGTTTCATACCTCTTCCACTCGTACCCTTATCCCAGTGATGGTATATTTCATACCTCTCCTCACTCCCTTATCCCAGTGATGGTATCTTTCATACCCCTCCTCACTACCTTGTCACAGTGATGGTATGTTTCATCCCTCTCCTCACTCCCTTGTCACAGTGATGGTATGTTTCATACCTCTCCCCTCCCTTGTCTTTGTGATGGTATGTTTCATACCTCTTCCACTCATTCCCTTATCCCAGTGATGGTATATTTCATACCTCTCCTCACTCCCTTATCCCAGTGATGGTATGTTTCATACCTCTCCTCACTCCCTTGTCACAGTGATGGTATGTTTCATACCTCTCCTCACTCCCTTGTCACAGTGATGGTATGTTTCATCCCTCTCCTCACTCTCTTGTCACAGTGATGGTATGTTTCATACCTCTCCTCACTCCCTTGTCTTAGTGATGGTATGTTTCATCCCTCTCCTCACTCCCTTGTCACACTGATGGTATGTTTCATCCCTCTTCTCACTCCCTTATCACAGTGATGGTATGTTTCATACCTCTCCTCACTCTCTTATCCCAGTGATGGTATGTTTCATACCTCTTCACTACCTTGTCACAGTGATGGTAGGTATGTTTCATACCTCTTCGCACTCTCTTGTCACAGTGATGGTATGTTTCATACCACTCACTCCCTTGTCACAGTGATGGTCTGAGTGAGTGACCGACATAATAATTGATTGTCGACAATGTTATTCTCAAGTGATTGAATGTTCTCGGTTCTTTCAAGAAGAACCGAGTAAGTACGTAATGTATTTCGTGTATTTTTCTTATTCATGATCTCTATTTATATGTGTGCTACGTTTCCAGATTTCGGTCACACGTGCTTGCGATCTCGCGCTTCTTCCCGCCAATCTCTAGTCATTAAATTTTATTACCGGTCCCTGTCCGTACATTTGTTATGTGGTATCTTCATCCCGCGAATGCAATATTTCTTACTACTACTTGTCAGCATATTTTATTATGTACGTTCGTGATACAAACGTGTCAAATTCGCTCATCTGAAAAGTCGAGCTGTGATTCCCAATGTGCAACCCAACGTTTTTTGTGTGTGATTAGAAACCTGGTTCTTGGAATTTTTTTGCAATAGAACGATGTGAATTTGAATGTGGGAGTTATTCTTCTTGTGTTTTTTTTGTTGGTGATATTGTGCACCCATATTTTGGAGTATTCGTCTTATGGGTAGCCCTCGAGGACACTTTTTTTGCGTGCTCTGGAGTTTGATTTTACCGGCAGCCTAGCACTCACCATCGTAGACGCTGTAGTGAGAGTCGTTTGGAAGTAATTAAGGTAAGGAAGCTTCGTAACTACATATGCTACCAAGTGTCCACTAGTCCAAGGTGTGTATGCATGGATTTCTTTTTTTTGCATGAAAATTTTTTTGCATGAATTTCTTTTTTGCATGAAAATTTTTTTCCATGAATTACTTTTTTTGCATGAATTTTTTTGCATGAAAAACCTTTTTGCATGACAATTTTTTTTGCATGAATATTTTCTCTTCCCAATTTCAACGTCTATTAATGCTTATTTCCGTTAACCTAATTTTAAATTTCAATCGTCATGCATGCCTAATGCTTAATGATATTTTATCTGTTTCAGTATCAATTAAGCATGAAAATAACATGAAGTGAGCTTTGTCTGATAGAATACAAACTTCATGTACAATATACATTAATGACATACACAATCATACTGTTCGCATGCTACATATTAGCTCCTGGTTGGCATATATATTAACACTAATTACATTTGTATTGCATAGTTTGATCTATTATTTTCATGGTATCGGCTTTAGAATATTGGATATGATGAGAATCACGTTAATTTTGTTTTCCAAAATAATTTGAGCTTACAGCACTGGTGATAGCGATATTTTTAATAACTTTTTTTCATATGCTTGCATCTATTCGTGTTACAAGCGTTTTTTTAAATTGTATCATAAGCAAAGCTTTATTTCATCCGGCATGTGATGATTTGGTTAGGTAATTTGTAATTAAATTTGTCTATTCTTTTCCTGGACCGATAGCCCTATCAATGCTCGGGTTCCGTACTTAGGAGCATAGTCAAGTCGAATTTATTTTATTATAGAGAATGGATTCACCTAATTAGCTTCGTAAAATATAAATAATTCATTTGATATGACAGATCCATGAAAAAATCGTTCAAATAACGTCTGAACGCATTCAATGTGAAACCCTATGCCGGTTTCCGGATCCCTTGTGAATCTAGTCACGAAAAGTTCAAGAATCGGCAACAGGCCATGGGCCTATTTCTTCAATGCCGACACTTCTATTCTATTCTATAAGAATAGGCAACAGGCCATAGGCCTATTTCTTCAATGCCGACACTTCTATTCTATTCTATTCTATTTATCTATTCTAAAGTATGTTTATTTGACGCACGTATCGAACAGACCGCATTGACATATGCCCGTCCGACGAAGAGTATCCGTGCCCCTACGGACGCTACATTATCTGCCTGTCACAAATCTGCGATGGCAACATCGACTGCGACGACAAATCTGATGAGGAAAACTGCGGTAACCCCTTACACGATCAACCCTTAAGGATAATACTTAATAGTTTCTTCTCAATAGTATCAACCTTTAGGGATATTACCTAATAGTTTCTTCTCAATATTCCGATAGTTTTAGTTCTTTTACAGTGATGGTGTGGTTACGGTAACCGCTTACACGATGATCCCTTAGGGATAATACGTAATAGCTTCTTCTTAATATTCCAATAGTTTCAGTTCTTTTACAGTGATGTTGTGGTTGTAATCGCTTACGTGATCAGCCTTTAGTGATAATACGTAATAGTTTCTTCTCAATATTGCAATAGTTGTAGTTATTTTACAGTGATGTTGTGCATGGTTGCGGTAACCCCTTACACGATCAACCTTTAGGTATAATACGTAATAATTTCTTCTCAATATTCCAATACTTTTAGTTCTTTTACAGCGATGATGTGGTCAGAATTGAATCAGGTTATGGCTGAAGTGTTGATTTCGCTTAATGCGTTGCTACACGTGACCAAAATTTCTTCCAAAGTAACCATTAGGGCCGCAAGTTAATGAATGGTTCTTGCATATACTTACATTTTCTTAATTCTCTTCTAATTTATTACCGTTTAATCCCTTAATAGATTAACAGTATTAATGCTACAGCTTGATATATTCCTGTCCCAAAGAATTTAGTTTGTCTTCACTTTCATAACTCCTTATAATAACAGCTAACTCTTAAGCTAACGTTGACAGCATGTCTTGGATCGCAAATGACAAGTAATCATACTTCAAGTAATCAACATGAAAAGTAATGTATAATAATGAGCGTCTTTACAGCTCACCAGTTAATTTACGTTGCACAGATTTAAATTAAGATCTCAAGCATTATGTTCTGTGCACAATATTCGACACCTCTTTGCATTATTTTATTCGAGTCACTTTTCGACATTTTGATCTGTGCACAATATACGACCTCTCTGCATTATTTTATTTGAGTCACTCTTCGAAATTTTGTTCTGTCTACAATATACAACCTCTCTGCATTATTTTATTTGAGTCACTCTCCGAAATTTTGTTCTGTGCACAATATACGACATCTCTGCATTATTTTATTTGAGTCACTCTTCGAAATTTTGATCTGTGCACAATATACGACCTCTCTGCATTATTTTATTTGGGTCACTCTTCGAAATTTTGTTCTGTTCACAATATACGACCTCTTTGCATTATTTTATTCG